TTCAAATTGATTAGATTTTTAATCGATTACTTCGGATTTCATAAAAACAATTGATTTTAATTGACTCTTACTTTCAGTCGATTAAGATCGGTTAGACCTTTAGGATTTTTTTGAAAGTAATCGATTTTTTACACAAATTTAATCAAAATCGCTTCTTTTAATCGATTTTTACCGATTTTTTAGCTGTTTTTTTTATATGGGGAATAGAAAAATCTAGTATAGGGTATCTTGTAGAGTGCTTTGCGCTCTACAAAATCTATATGAGAAATTCGAGAAAAAAATGTCACATTTGATCGTAATTTGAAAGACAAAGGAGAGAAAAAGCACCTTCCTTCCATGTCCAAGTTTAGAACAAGCAAAAAAAACTTGATCATTGAATCATTAAACACTTATGTTCAAGAAAAATCTATGTGATATTCGGCATCAGCGCCAAAAAGTGAGTCAGGCAGCACGAGTTTCGTTAAAAATAACTTCTTTACAAAATTCATCCCTATTCCATCTAAGCTTCTTTTTTTTAAACTTTTGTTTGGGGTCTCCCTCAGGTGAATTTTGTCTAAAAATTATTTTAAATGAAAGGCATATTGCCTAACTCACTTTTTGATGCTGATGCCAAATATGACATGGGTTCTGCTTGAAAATGAATGTTTAATGATTCAATGATCGAGTTTTTTTTCGCTTTTACTATATTTTTATATGAGAAAGATGTGCTTTTTCTCCCCGTTGTATTTCAAATTACGAGCTGATGTGACTTTTTTTCTCGAATTTCTTATACCGATTTTGTCGAGCACACAATTCTTTACAAGATACACTATATCCGATTTTCATATTCAACTTTCATAGCCTCGAAAAACTCATTTTTTCCCTATGAAGACTTCACTTTTTGGAAACCTCATATAAGACTATTTTATTCAGCTTGATAAACTCTTTAAAATAAGACGTTGCACAAAAGACGCGGATGAAAAAATGATAGAGTTAAAGGCGAAATACTGAAAGGTATCGAAAAACGTGTTTTTTTGCGATGTTTCAGACCCCTTCTTATTGTCAAGGTTATAGCTCTGTCAAATAAGGTCCTGAAAGTGAAAAATTTTTCCATACCCTTACTTTTCAAGGAACCGAATGAGATAAAAAAAACAAAATATTTTTTTGACCACGTCTCAACGATTCTCAATAGGCTGGTCGAATCTCTCTTAAGCACTTTATATATTAATATCCATTTCAGAAGATGAGTATTCTTGGAATAACTTTTGATAGGAACGGATAGAGATCTGTGGTTTTCACCATTCAAAAAAGAGAATGAAACTGCACTGAAACTTGAATATCAGATTTCTCTGGGAAGTTCCCTAAGAATCATTCGTCAAGTTTTTAAAAAATTAAGGCTTTTTAGTAGGCTGAGAAGGTGGGCTTTTCATCAATAAATCAGAAACAAAGACAATTTTGTTGAAAAATCTGCCGAAAACACGAAATAAAATGTTAATAACTCTTGATCAACTTATGCTTTCAATGCCAGACTTGTATATATTATTGGTCTTTAGTCAAGGATTCGGGTGCACAAGTGAAAGTTAAGTTTTCAAAAGTTTTACATTTGACAATTTTTTGCGTTTAAGAAGTTTGGCCAGTGGCTTCGACACAACCTGCCGGAAAAACTTGATGTGCAAGGTACGATGCAGCTTCGTCTCCTCGTTCAACAATGAGAATCGCATATCTCTATTGTGTTCATATCAAAAATTATTTCAAAAATACTCCGTCGCCTTTTAATTTGAAATGGATATTAGTATAGGATATGACTGGCCTTGATTTACTTCAACTAAGAATAGACATCTTTCAATATCACTGATCATTAGTACAAATGAGTAAATTTCAAGATTTCTGCTGGGCTTTATTATTTCTTTTGGTGGTCTGCTAATTATCTTATTGCTTTTGCATCTATGAAACTCTTCGCTACAGACTCATTGACCAATCAGCATTGTACCATAGATCATTCAGATCTCAATGAGCACAAAAAAAGTTAAACGATTAGCAGATCTAAAATACATATTGTCAATTCACGAAGAAATCTGCAAGTTCACTTACTGTGAGAAAGCATAGATTATCCATTAAAGCAAATTCTAATAAGTCTTAACGATACTGAAATCAAACACTTAAAGCATTATTTAATGCACACTCATTAGGAACGACAAAAGTGCAACATAGGTGAAAAGAGAGAAAAAGAAAGAACTTCGTCTAGGAGTTTAAGTAGGTGGTTAGACCAATATATAGAGACATATTTAGTGAAATATGTTAGGTAGATACGTAACTGGTTACAGAGGTTGATTGCTACACAGTTTCGAAAGTAAGCTAATGAGTAAAGAGAAACATCTATCTTTCTGCGCATCAATTATTAATGTTATATGAATCGAACATAGAAACAAGAAATTCATGGAAAAACATAATAGAAAAGGCATTAAAATAGAGAAAAATAAATCAAGAAGCGTGTCAATACACGGGGAACCTGGATATTTTAGGATATCAATTATAAGAATTTGTAATGCATAAACTGCCAAAAATGTTAGCTCGTTTAAAAAGTGATCATTTTCATACCGCACTTTTTTGAACGCTTTTGGATGACCATCTGGAATTGCGGTTAGTGCTCGAGAACATTGGAAATTTATCTAGCGTTTTCATGCTTTTTTCTCTTTATCTACTTAAATGCTGTTATTTATCTTGCTATTATTTTGATTTGTTTTCTTATTTCTGAATCTAGAAAAGAAAAACAACCATCTGCTTCTGTTGTCTATGTTGATCTTCAAATTAATCGTCAAATACACATTAAACGGAACATCTATATGCATTGTTCACTTTTTTCTTTACCAATTAAAGACAGCATATCCATAGAGAAAATGAAAAACTCGATAGCCATTATTTCTGTCACATTAACTTCATCGTGATATTAATTGATAATCGCTATTATAGACTTACGAACGGTGAATCTTATCAGAGAGTGTTACTTGTGTTTATCGTTGGGGTATAAATACTGTAAAAGCTGTGTTTTATTCACTCATAAGAAGAGAAATAATAAGGTTTGATAAAAATAGTGAGTGTCTGTTTCATGTGTGTATGAGAGAAATAAAAATTACGCGCACTGCAACGCAGATGGTTTGTTATAGTTATCGAATATGAAATGTTTAAACCTAAAATAAGATGACAGCGCTCTAGTCGTATTTTCGCCGAATATAAAACAAATTGTCACAAGTAGATTTGTTTTATATGTAAAATAGGAAGCTGTTTACAGTATTTATTAATAGTTTCTTAATAGATAAACTTAAGTAGCCCTCTATAACCGTGCTTACTTCGCAAGAGCTCCTAAATATCTTGTTAATTATCATAAACGAGCATTGGAATGTTGTCAGTATCTCTTGTAAATATGACGCATTAGATGAGCTTAATTATTCATGTAAATTACTAGTCAATATTATGGATCTGACTTGAAACACATTACATAAGAAGTCTTAGGTGATTCTCGAAGTATAGGTAAGAATCATTTAGTCGATAATAGTGTAACACTCCCGATTGACTGGCATTCATACATGATATTCAACCTTCCCCTATCGTTCACTAGTATAATATATATTGCCTTCACCTTTATATTTTAACGCTGCTATCCTTACCCTATTGGTCTTCTACATCTATTCTCTCCTTGGTCTCATCTCCTTTCTTTTTTATCCTCTCTTGTTCTACTTGCGCGTAAGAGCGCGTGCTTTGTATTTAAATGATACGGTTATACGATATGAAGGAAGAGACGAAAGCATATCTCTATCCACACTAACATTTAATCTTTCAAAAATCGTCACAAATAGTCTTACACAAGAGAAGCATTAATACTTGCTAAATACCTTCAGAAGATTGGAATTAAATTGAAATATTCTAACACGTATAGTAGTGACTTGTCATGAGTTAACGACACATACAAAGTATTGAAAAACACCACAGATCTCTGTATAGAAGTGGAAGTCAAGGAAATATTGACTACCAGAAAACATACTCTGAAGGTAGTTTTGAGTGCTGTAATCGATTCTATTCGATAAAATTAAACAAGAGATATCAATAGTATTCCATTAAATGGTAGCGAATTATGAAGTAGTACATTTATGTTGCATTGTAAAATATCACCATGCACGACTATATACGAGCCGTATTCTTTGGTGTTTGAGTACTGAACAAAATTATAACAACAACACTTTGTCAGTTTTTTTCTATAATATCAGATACTTAGCTCAAAATCAAATAGTGATTTGAATAACTAACGAAGTTCTCTCCGTAATAGGTTCTATACCAAGGTTACACTAATGGACTATGAGATTCATGTTTCTGAAAAGTCGAAAACTGTTGTTTTGCATGTCCCAGAATGCGTTATGGAAACTATTTTTTGAGTGTTCTACGACAGATGGATAATTCTGAAGGAAACCAAGATTCGTCACACATTCTATAAGATGTTCTTAAAAAGTTACGCTCAGGGTGAAAAGAAAAAAATTGCAAAATCAATCAAGAAGAATGTTAAAAATCAACCAAAACAAAGCGTACTGTAAAAACTGGTAGTCAAGGAAAAACGTTCTGCAGTCTTTTAGAACTTGAACAAAATTGTTTTCGGTTTTTTAGAAACTTTGCTCTCGAAGCTCATCCTTGAAGCTTTGGAATAGAATACATTTGAGAGAATGAACTTCATTGACTATTCTAATTACTATATCATTAAGGTTAGATGTTTGGCATTGTAGAAAAGAAATCAGATATATCTTATTTTAATGTTTTTTGTCCAGTACTGCATCTTTAAGACAGTGTATAGCAAGAAAAAATTACAAAAAAAAGATTGAGTGCAATACTTTTTTAAAATCAATTACACAAGTCTGCAGCATTTTAAAAATACCTCACTACATCTCTAAAACTAATGATATAGTGTATACAACCAATAACAAGTATTTTTAACGGTTCATAGCAGATTATTTACAGATATTTTCTTCGAATTACTAATGGCAAACGGTTGTGAATTTGAATTTATGGAATACATGGATGAGCAGTCCATTGATCCAAATTTAATATGCAGCATTTGTCATAAACCTCTTAAGGATCCAGTTTGTACATCATGTGATCATACATATGGTCGTGCATGCATCACACGATGGCTCAATCAGAATGACATTGGTTCATGTCCTATGTGCCTTAAAAAGCCCTTGTCGATTAATGAACTCACTCAAGCTAGTCGTCCCTTACGTAATATGCTTGATCAACTTCGAGTTCAGTGCCTATTATGTACACAAACTGGTTTACAACGTGGAAACTTTGTTGATCATATGAACAAGGTTTGTCCAAAATCTGTGATTCAATGTCAAGCTGCTGACATCAAATGTCCTTGGAAAGGACCACGTGATGAATTACAGAATCATATGATAGCATGTGTTTTTGAACCATTGCGACCAGTATTATCTACACTAATTGCTGAAAACCGACAACTTATCGATCAAGTTCAAAAACATGATAATGAAATCAAGGCACTAGCACAAAAGATGTATCAGTTACAAAAGAGTAAGTCAATATTTTTGTGAATCATTAAAGCAAACGTCTGGCATGTGAGATTGTTGTTTGTTTAGCAGAGAAAAATAAGTCCAGCGATGAAAGTGATACTCAATCAGTTTCGGAAGTCTCCGTCGATGGTACAAATCAGAAAGAGGAAGATGCTATATACATAAGGAATCTACCTGCTACTGTCAAATTTAATGATATATTTGATCAGTTTTCAAAAATTGGACGCATCAAGGTATAGTTATGGTTATTATATGTATATATAACAAGTTTTAGATTCTTACAATTTATATCAAACATAGTCTAAAATGAGTGGACAGGATGCGAATAAACATGATTAAATTTTGAGATAGGTGGAGGATTAGTTCTGTTCATCTCGGTAACTGATGTTCATAAAGATGGATAAGATCATAACTGTTTTCACTTTCTGTTTTACGAATATCTTGATGTTTCTTTGTATTCAGCAAAAGATTTTGCACTAAATATAATTATTTGTATTTGTTCAACTCGATGCAGAGAATTTATTCTCTCAAACTATTTGCTTGCAATTCGACGAGACATATATTACATCTGAAGAATAGTTGCATCACTAAAATGGTTATGATATGATATTTGCTTATTACTTGGTACTTTGATATTTTTTAGTACAATCCGAACACTCAGAAAACCGAAATATTCATTTTTAAAAATCCAACAAAGAAGAACGGCCTGTGCAGCGCAAAAGTAGTCTATGCTAACAAGGAATCGGCCGCTGCTGCAGTAGCGGAATACAATGGTATATAGTGTCTTGAATATATGTGGAGTAGTTCAGTATTCTTTTTTATGCATAGGTAAACATATTCCACAATGGAATACACGTCTTCAAGTAAATATATCATATGCAACGAGAAAGAATTTAAGCGATTGTGGAAAAGCCAATAATCGTAAATAGATATTATTAATCATATAAATAGTAGATTTTATTCTTATTTAGAAGGAAACATTCATGGGCATCAGGAAGCTAAAGTGATGGAAGAAAGCAAAGAAGTTTCAAACAAAGACAAAAAGGGTTCCGCCATGGTTGATCAATTAGAGCCACAAATCGAAGATAATAAGGCAGAAACTAAGAAAAATACACGGTCTGTTAAATACTGCTACAGATGAAAGCTTATTTCTTTTTCTTTGATTAGTTCACATCGACGTAATTTTCCTCGTGTTGACAAACCAACAAGTTAAAGTTAAACTAAAATAACGCATTGAAACAACACGAAACAAAATGAATACTTTTCATCATTAATGAACTTTTATTATATTTTCTCTTTTAAAAATTAAGTCTTCTTTAACCTAATTTCAACAATTTTTCATACATCTTAAATGTTTTAGTGAAGTAGTAAAAAAAATATTTTAATTTTTATCTAATCTTTGTGGTTTATCTTTGTTTCGAAATAACTAACATATGATATTATAATGTTCACTTTTCTTCAACTTATTCATCAGTAATGATAGTCTATTAATAGGCATGGAAGAACGTTGGATACTGTTTTTGTCTGAAAGGAATTTGATCCCGTCTATAAATGCTACCGGTAAAGATCGAATCCGATGCCGCATTGTTCTGGAAGCTAACGTATTTCATGCGAGAACGATCGCATGAGACTTGGTCGTTGTCAAATTTCGGATCGGATCATACCAGAAAAGATCTGATCATTTTGTTAAGTGAATATAATAAGATCGTCGCGGACTTTGAGCATTAAAGAAGCCAGAAGATATCGATTTCCACAAAAAATAGTGTTGAATTTCAACGTAGAGTGTAAGTGTGGGTGAACAGTGCCAAGGTATCTGTGAGTTAAGCAAAGATTCTCACAATTGCTCATATCTGCATTCACCTATACCCACGTCTACACTACACATATAAGAGAAAATTTCACAAAAATTCAGTATATAATACCAACGAAATTTCTATAGTTGCAGAATTTTCAGAAATTATCGGAGTGATATTTGCATCGCTAAGATTGACATACATAAACTGGAGAAGCCCACCTCCGACTTCAGAACAAGTTCTAGTAACTAGGATGAATTCGGTATTTACGGAAATTTTTCCTGAGATTACTGGTGAGCTTCTTCCGTGTATTTATGCCAAGGTGAGTGATACTAATAAAAGACTGATGGTTTTGGAAATATCCTTGATTACCAAAATTACCATAATTTCTTTAGTAATTTCTAGGTAGTTTTGACAATTTATTTGCTATATATTGTAAATTCAAGTAATTTTTTCCAAGCAATGCGAAGCATTAATCAGACTATATCAATAAAGTGAGTGTAGATCTGGTTTTTATATTAACTAATACTTACACTCGCACTCACCTACATCATTAGATTACAATTATATTCAAAATTATCCAGTCAATCCAATACAAATAAGTGAAGCGCTGACAACTTAGTAGTTGGTTTTTACGCAAGCAAAGAGAATAGTATTAACTAAAAAGTATCGCGTAGATAACAGGCTTAACTACTCTTTTCAAATAGAATCATATTCGCAGTAGAAAAAATCACTGGGTAAAAACAAACTGTTAAGGAAATATATTCTTTTTAGGAAATTTATATTACTATTAGTATTGATAAAGTAATAAATTTGAAAATTAACATATGTAGTACTGGTGAGTGTTTGAGAAAACTAGCTTCTCTAGTGTATCTGCAATAGGATATTGCTTTAGAATTTCTTCATTTTTTGATATGTTGTAGAGAGTAATGACTTAAGTACTCTCTCAAATTTTTAGCAAGAATCGATCACTTTTCTAGCATCATCATTGAAAATATATACAAATGAGTTCTTTGATGAAATATGGTTTTCTGGTTTTTCTAATTTTTTTCTGTAAAATTTCTTTGAAAAAAGAACTTTTTCTTTTTCAATTGAGGTATGTTTGACTTCATGCCGTTTTAATCATGATTCACAACAATTTCTACTGCTATTTACAGAATTTTCGAAATTTTTTAAAATTATAAATGACATATATTGCTATTCCAAAACAGCCACATTTTGTTCTTTTTGACATTTAGTTAATAAAATGTTGGTTGAGCACGTTCTACACACTAACTATGCAATCTTTCACTACTGTCACTAGTGATAGACCTCAACAAGTTCTATTGTTTGATGTATTTTGTTCATTTTGTACCACTCGAAGAAAAAATTAGTTTTAACAGAAAATTGTCTTTTTTCTATGATTTCTGAAATCTGTTTGAACATGCTGGTGTCATCTCGATAGGTTATACTTTCTCAAAATGTAAAAAGTGTCAATTATTCATACACATCCAATATTCTTTTTTTTCGAATGAAAGAAAATTGTGTGTAACTCAAACAAAATAGCCTTATCCGAAATGTTTCTCCTATTATTTTTTCTTAGAGAAAAATTGAAGCTTCCCCCGCTTTCATCCAGACGCTTCTACCAATTGAGTTGAAATTTTTCGTATAGTAAATAGAATCAATTGGGAGTGTGTAGGTTTTTTTATTCTTGAAATATTGCTCTGATGGTTTTCGGTATATCTTATAAAATTTTGTCCTAGGAAAAAACACGTTTTCTGATAAGGCTACAATTATCTCAGTGTTCTAAACGAAGAAAACAGTATTTTTTAAGAAAACATATATATACATCCCGATTCGCTTCTGGTTGCTACAAAAAATTCATTCGTAAAGAATGAGTTTTGGCTGTTTTCGAGGGGGACAAAACTCGAACCCATTTTTGGCACTTGCACCCTCTATATCTCATAGAAGAAAGCATCCAGAAAATCTGAATCTATGATAATTTTGACACTACTGATCGAAATCTACCTAACCTGAAAAATTTCATAAGTTTTTGTTGAACCGTTTTTGAGAAGCTTGGGAAAGGGGGTGCCCTTAAATATGATAAACTCTTGGTGATGTCAAAAGCAAACCAAAGAAATGCAGTTGTGATGTTGAACAAAGAAGAATATTTATATAAATCAAAAGAAATTCTTGATGATAGAAAAAGCGTTTAAGAAATTAATGTACGATTCTACTGGAGGAAATGTACAAATTCTCATTTCATTTTGCTTAAATGAAAGAAAAACAAAATAATAATAAAGAAAAGCTACAAAGCAATAGGGCCTAAAACTAAGACCTATTATATCGAGTTATGATTCTTATAATAATAATACAACCAAATACCTACGAAATTTAATAATTGCAGCTATACCCAAAACGAAATCATTCATTTAACATTCATCTGGTTTTACTGATAAAATTGGCTAAATAAAAATATTTATGACTTGATACATTCATTAAGCGTCTCAACTTTATTTACTAGTGTACTCCAAGAAAAAGTCATATCTATTGCGTTTAAGAAAACATGACATATCATGTTAACGTTGCAATAGATTATGAAAATTTAAATCAACTCTTTAAATTTTGTAGAATGAAAACTAATTTGACATTTAATCATGAAAATTATGATTAAAAAAATGTGAGGATGGGTAGTTCTTTAGCAACCACAATGGCTCATGTATTGATGAGTGATCGTGAGAGTCAAATTTACAACTAGAAAGAAAAATATAAAATTATTTGATTGTCATGTAGATGATATGTTTATTATTGTATATAAAAATCAACGCGATATTAGATATTTTGTTAAGTAAATGAACGAAATCGAACTATCTATTAAATTTAGCGGTGAGATGCAAAATAATAATAAACTTCTTCGTCTGGATGTTATCGTGATGAGAATGAACATGGATGTAATTACATACTTATACAGAAAACCCACTGACACAGGATTATATCTAAGATGGAGCATCCATCAATCCAGAAATTACAAATGAATCTAAATAAATGTGTATGCATTCGTACAAACGGAATCTGGACTACAGTTTTTTTCTTTAAAGAACACTTAGTATATTACAAATGGATATTAATTGAATATTATAATAAAAGGCTACAAGAAGTGTTGAATTAAGTAAGAACATCAATAATATTCCACCATCATCTAATACTGAAAAAGCTTTTTATCTCAAGACTATATTATGATGAATTGTCAAAGATATTAGACAATAGCATGAAAAATTTATCACAACGTGATAAGAAAAAAAGGTAGTTTTGGTTTTAAAGCAGGATCACATATTTCATCAGTATTCAGTCAAATATATATAGTGGATCTCATGAGTCAAAAAATCTAATTTAGAAATTTAATTGTAAAAATTACAATTGCTATTAAATCGGAGAAACGCTTTCGAGTGTCGACAAACGAAAAGAAGAACATGAAGAACTATTTGAAGAAAAAACCTACTCCACAATAGAAGAAGCTCACTCAAATTATGGGCATGAAAATGACTGGAATGCTGAAACGATTGCACTGGCATTGGAGGATACAAATAGAATTATGAAAAGAAAGTCTATGTATAGGGTACTTTCAAAAGAAAGAACAACGTGTTTATTCTCAAAAAAAAATGCTGAACTGAAAGCTTTTTGGGAACAAATAAAAGACACATGTGCTTGTTGTGAACCGTTTAAATTTATAATAATTCATACAGTAAACCGGCTTATATTGTTTTGCATTTTTCATAGTTTGTTTTTTTTTTATCTATTTTAACTTTTCTTTGTATATTTATTTTTACTTTTGACTAGTGATTTGAATAGGTATTCACGAAATTGTTGAATATAAAAATGTTTCTATTAGTATATATTATTCGCTTATTTTGTAAAATGCTTACCTTCTTTAACTTATACCTCAGTAATTTAAGCTCATCTATAGACATGGAAGAACGTTGGGCATTATCTTTGTCTTCAAAGGATTCAGTCTGGTTGATGTATTCTACTGGAAAAGATTTGATCTGGTATTGACCGATTGCGTTTCTTACTCGTACTCATTCACTCATACCCGCATTCACACTCGCACTCTCAAGTAATGGAATATGCTTTTGATCATCAGTCACTGAGAATATCTA